AATAAAAATGGACAACGAAAAGGAATAAATTAAACAATTTTGGAATACATACATATGTAGTACATATCTACTTTTTTTTCTAAAAACTAAAAATAATCTTAAGTTATATATTAAGGATCGGTGTGTCCAAAATTTGAGTCTATAAATTGGGATCTCGCTTAATATAAATGATAGAACGGTCGATTAAATGGCGAATGAGAAAATTTGATGGTGTTTTCGAACCCGTTTTCAAGATTATTAAGTTTTGTAGTTTTTGAGTTATTTCAAAAAAAAAACAACCGTTAATTTGACATATTACAAAGTGTTGCATTCTCAAGGCACTTTTTAATGGAAAATATTTTTGTATAAAAAATTACAAATTGTCTTCTATTTTTGAGTTACCCACCGTAACTTTCTTATTTCTTATGGCCACCGTCTTAGATTTTTACCTTCTAAATTATACCTTTTAAACGATGTGCCAAATTTTTGAGAAATACTCCAAAATTGATATTTTCTTTAATTTGGTAACACCGCATCCATATAAAATAGTATGTCCACGTAAAAGTACATTAAACCGGATATTGTTAGTGCCGCATAGGCAGTGGCGGCTGGTAACCAATATTTTGGGGGTTCACAATTACAGAATATAGATCTCAGAATATATGTAGGTAAAAAACTTTTAGAAAGGTATATTAAAAGCTTTCTAAAACATTTATATTGCGTCATTTTGAACCCCCAATATTTTGGTCAAGAGCCGCCACTGCCCATAGGTACTCAATAGAATAGAAAAATAAATGTTATTATTAAATTTAATTTAAAAAATGGGGTTTTAAATAAAAATAGTATCAAATATTTAATTCAAAATATTGCAGAAAAACAAATTAGATTTGCTAGTTAGCAAATACGCAAATTTAAACTTGTCCAATAATATTATTAAAATTCTGATGTACCCAACACATTACTTTCCTGTCTAGTTATTAGACCTTTTCCGATTATTTTGTACAACCTGTTGTATCACCCCTGTAAATGTTTAGAGGATGAACTAAATACATAGGTACATTCTCCACACACATCTATCTCGAAACAATTTTTATATACTTTCGTTGCCATCAAAAATTCTGATAAATTTTAATTTTACACTTTTCCTCAAATACAGTCAATTTAGGAGAAATCATGTTTGGAACAAAAAACATAGAGAATGATATCGCAAATAACCTTTATTTAAAAAAATTTTCTTCGCCAATCGTATATAACGAAGAAATATTCCCTTAAAGTAAAAAAAATGACACCCTATAAAATACCCCCAGATGCTTAGACTATGCCCAAAATTTAATCAGATTACCGCAGAATGGATTAAGTTTAAAAGTTGGTGTTTTGATCTTTATTCGTTTTTGAGTTATCTACAAATTTCGAAATTTGCACGTTTCTTCAAATATCTCGAATACAGTCCATTTTTGGGAAATCCGGTATACAGGGTGTACCAATAAAAACTCCCAGGCCGGATATTTTGATAAGTAATAGAGATATTTTAATTCTGTAAAAGCTAGTTCATACCAGGGGGGGATATCGCGCATGGTGTCATGGCGGCGCTGACGTTATGCGTAGAGTTAGTAGAGTTGGCGCGAAATAAATATCATATGGCATGTTGCAGTAGTTTGTGAGTCGTTTAGTGATTTATAAGATATTAAGCAGATATCTGTTGTAAACTTTGTTCTCTGTGAGTAGTTTTATTGAAAATCATTGAAAAATTGCAGTACGGATGTAACAGTAACAATTAAAGGAAAGGATTAACGAAAAAATTATGATTTTTCGCTTTCCTCGACAGTAAGAGCTTAGTCAGAAGTGAGGAGTGGCCCAAGGGCGGCTCCAGCGGAGGCCCAGGGGAGCATGCCGTTCCCTAGATTAAAATTTTTAAAATCCATGAGCCTTTTATTAAAAAAAAATATGATAAATAGGCAATTCTACCCTCCTCCCCAAGAAAATTCGACATGGAGTAGCCCTTGCAATGGCTTGTGACCCTGCAGATAAATTTTTAGATGTATTTCAAGCACTTTTAACCTTCCAATTATAAGAGGGACCTCAAATCAGAACTTCACATAATGTGAAGTTGTAAATGAACCATTCACAACTTGGGTTTTCTAAACTGGAGACTCTACTCTGTGAAGGCTAAAAATTTCGCAATATAAGCAAAAGTGAAATTGTAAATGTCACCAAAAAAAAAAGAAAATTTCTCCTTGTACTTGATGAATGAATTAAAAAACTGTCAGTGACTAGGTCCAGGAAAAATGCAGCGACATTTTATTTTAATTTTGTATATTGCACCTACCATATTTTATGTATTATATATATATAATATATATGTATATAAAATATATTTTTTTAAAACTTATTTTTATTCAATTGGATAATATAGTGCAGGTAAATGAGTAAACAAGTTGCAAATCCTAATTAGGTAAAAATATCCGGCATATCCAGATACGAAATTGTTACCAGGATCCCCAGTTTCAAAATGCAAAGATACCCTTTATTTCATTATCCTGGTTATAAAAACTATTCGTTAGAAGTCGAATTTGTATAACCATAATAAATCATTAAAAAAAAAGGAAACAAACTGTTCAAAAAAATATTTCTTTTATGTATGTATTTGCATTTATGTTCCTTCATAGTTCTTTTCTTAACTATACCATAATAATATCCATAGATATTTCATGTAATTTCTAAAATAATATCCTTAATATTCATCAAAATTCTGTAAGTAGCATATATTTTCCTCACACTTCGTCAGTATTTTTAAATTCGCGCCTACATAAACTCTACGCGTGACGCCATGCGCGTGGCCGTCCTATTTTTGACACTGTTGATATCCTACCTTTTATTTTTTATACCATGAGTTCATACAGCACTAAGAGAGCTTCAGTTTTAGATATAAATTAATTTTAAATAGGTAAATATGTAGATGGCGCTGCGCTCAATATATTTTTTTCGATGGGAGGATCTTTCTTATATAACGCATCTTGTGAAAAATGCATTTTTAAGCAGATTTTGTTCTATAAACTAATTCGATAAATCTAGCCATTTTTGATATACAGAGTGGGTCACTCAAAATAGTTTTTTCCTATCATTGGATTTTTAGAAAATGCTAAAACAAGTCGATTTTTATTCCCAATTGAACACATTTTTACAATACAGACATCTGTCAACCCCCTCCCTTCTACTTCTCCAACCCCTTAATTTTAAATAAGGATTATATCATATACGGCACATCATTGAAAAGGTAATTTTATGATGAAGTCAGAAATATGACTGTTTATTGTGATATTTTTAATTTTAGCGCCCTCTATCGGGATAAAATACCTGTAATGTATTATAAAGTGTGACATTTCATTTGAAAGCTAATTTAATTACTAATTCAATGCACCACATAATATTAATATAAACATTTCCATACATTTCCATTGCAACAAAATAAAGTTAGCAATAATGTTTAAAATAATGCATGAATAATTTTCAAACTATTGCAAGTGTAATATGGAGGATATTTATATTAATGTTATAAGGTGCAATAAATTAGTAATTAAATTTGCGTTCAAGGTATCACACTTTATAATACGTACAATTTTTTTTATCCCGATAGAGGGCGGTACAATTAAAAGTATCGCAATGAACAGTCAGTCTTTTTTCTAAATTCCCTATAAAATTACCCTTTTAATGATATACTACACATTGTAGTGTCACACTCTACAATACGTAGTAGTTTTTTATCCCGCTAGAGGGCGATAAAATTTAAGTAACTCAATATACAGAAATATTTCTGAATTCTCCATTAAATTACCTTTTCAATGATGTGCCATACATGGTACATTACCTATTTAAAATTAAGGTGTTGGAGAAGTACAAGGGAGGGGGTTGACACATGACAGATGTCTATATTGTAAAAATGTTTTTAATTTAAAATAAAAATCTACCTGTTTTAGCATTTTCTTAAAATCCAATGATTAATGCTGAAAAACAGGATGAAAGTGTTTTGAGTGACCCACTATGTATATCAAAAATGGCTAGATTTATCGAATTAGTTTATAAAACAAAATCAACTTAAAAATTCATTTTTTACAAGATGCGTTATATAAGAAAGTTCCTCCCATCGAAAAAAATATATTGAGCGCAGCGCCATCTATACATATTGACCTATTTAAAATTAATTTATATCTAAAACTGAAGCTCTCTTAGCGCTTTATGAACTGGCTCTTACAGAATTAAAATACCTCTATTACTTACCAAAATATCCGGCTTGGGAGTTTTTATTGGTACACCCTGTAGAACGAAAATTATAGATAATAACATTAAGAGTAACTTTTATTTGAACAATTTTCTTAAAAATTTGAATTTTGAACTTTTAATCAAATTTATATCTTCACATGATAGACTATGATTATTTCAGGCATTTTTACATAGCAGGCCAAGAAATGTGATAATTAAAAGAAATTAATTTTGTACTACGTGATATTTTAGATTAAAGCGGGGTTGTCAAATTATTGAAAATATTAAATTTTTATTAATATAAGGTAATTCTAAAAAATTTAAAAGTCATGTGGCACATTGTTTAATAGGTAATTTGAAGGATGATAATATTATGTAAAAATCCAATATGGACGCCATAAAAAATATCAAAGTTATGGTAGGTAACTCAAAAACAAAAGACAATTTCGAAGTTGGTTTACACAAAAATATTCTCCATTAAAAAGTGTCAAATATGTAATACTTCAAGAACGTATCATTTAAAAAAATAGAATAGACCATAATATTTAGTTTTTTTGAAATAACTCAAAAACTACTTAACCTCTAATCAAATTCTCTAAAACATTTAACCGACTTTTTATCTCTTATATATCAATATAGAGACTCGAGTTTCGAATACACTGTATACTGATAAAAAAAAAATTATTGTAAAAATATCTTTCCTCGTTTTTAGACACAATTAAATTTGACAATATTTCTTAAAATAGATATGTATAAGTCCTTACGTGTTAATTACAGCATCTGCACTGACATACGAGAACCTGCTGTCCCTCAAAATTTTATGTCTGTTCGATCGTTCAACGAATTTCTGGTACTCCTTCAAAGTTTTAACCTTGAAGGGAGTTTTGTATTTCAGTTTAAAGATGCCTCGCACTCTGCTCTCCGCTTTCATTATCATCAAGCACCAATTTTTTTTGTACACCTCGCCTCTAATGTGGTCAAAATTTAAAACCACTAAATTAAAATATTCTTTTTTCGGTAGGTAGGTAGGTACGTACTCTGTATTTTATTTTTTTTCAGTGTGTCAAAGATATGTAACACCTATATTATTAAAGATATATGTTCTACATTTATTGCTAAGCCTATATTTTACTTTAATCGATAGGTAATATAGGGCAAATTAAACTGTTTATTTTTTCTGAAAACTCTGTATATCAATTTAAACATTTAATGATAACTTCAGAAACCTCTCAAATTTATGGTCTATAATGAATAGTTTAAGAGCAATATTTACTTACAGTCAACTGCAACTTTGTTGCTGATTTCATGTTCTTATTTCTACTCGTACAAGCTTTAAATCAGCTTGACCTAAATTTGAGTACAAATACATATGTACTTAATTAAGAATTTCAAAATATTTTAAAGATGTCATCTTATTGTAATACCTATTATTAAAGGTTTATAAATAATTTGGCATGCTAATTATTACAAGTAGATAGGGTAGAAATACGATAAAATAATTTTATATCAACTTTAATATTTAATTTCGCCGTAACAAGGTTCAATGTGACAAGTATTAAAAGTAATTTTAAAAAACCGACTTCAAAATCGTGTAGATGCCATCACCACATCTTAACCAAATTTACATGGGACGATATCTGAGGTACCCCCTTACTAACTAAAAAAGAATCATAGAAATCGGACAAAGTGGTAAATAATTATCGCTAAACATACATACAAAATGAAGAGTTTGATGATTTTCTCAATGACCCAATTATTAGATTTTGAGAAAATTTATATGGGGGCCACCCCTTACTAACAAAAAAAGAATCATAAAAATCGGACAATAATATTCTTTAAACTGTGGCAGAATGTATTAAAATATTCGCTCTAGAAAATGATTTACCTCCCACTCTTTTGTCACAAGCTGAATTTTTCAGAGATGAAAGGTAACCCTTATTCCGGAGATAATACAAAATTAGACTGTGCAGAAGGGCACTGTCATCAAAAATCCAGATATAGAGAAAAAATACTAATTTTTTGGTCCAATGCACAATAAAATTTTTGTAGGGAGTAATTGTTTATACTTAAAAAAAAATCATTTGCATTAGCCCTTACGGCCGAAAAAAATATAAACGTAAATATCTCGGTTTCAGCCCTTTAAAAATTTGGTTAAAAAATATATCAGTCATTTAACAAAAAAGGAAGGCCTAAACAAAAAAAACAATTCTTTATAAAATTTTTGCTTATGTGATGACAAGGTAACATAGAGTAAACACCATATTTTTTGCTTTTGAATTGACAAATATAATATATAACATTAAACGATGAGAGATGTCATAGGTTTACGCTGTAATTATTAATTCTCACCACCAATTTCATAGACTCTGTGTATCTTTCTCATCACCTTCAAACGTAGCAAAGCTCTGTTTCTCTCTACGTGTCGGCTAATGTATTACATTATTGATATGGTAGGATTTTTTCATTTTTTTATTATAAAACTTCTCGTTAGGTGGCAATGGGCAATGTGTCATATTGTTACCTAATATATTGGGAAGAAATATAGACACTTTTACACATTTATTATATCTACATTCATCCTGTTGCAACTGAATATATTTGGGGAAGTCATAAGTTTTCGTTAAAAAATTTAATTACGGTTTTGTTGTTGCAAGAAGTAAAGACAAAAATTATATCAAAATAGGGATATTCTTAATCCTCGCCAAGTCAATATGCTTGTTGATGCAACAAACAGGATGGAAATTTTGAGGTCAATATTTTAATTGCATATTTCATATTTAACGCTGAGACAGGGAAATTTCACTCAAATAATAAAATAAAAAAAGTTTATTTTATCCTGAATAGGCCATGACTGATACTTGTTTATATTGTTGGGTACTGTTGTCAACAATTCAGTTATAGCCTACTCGGGTTAAAATAAACTTGGAACAACGAATATTAATTTGTCAAGTATACTTACGGTCCTAAGCAATGACATTTGTATTGTTGTTTTAAAGAATATTTATTTATACAATATTGCATATTTTTTTTAACAGAAATCAAATTAGAATGGACATCGCAACGAAATTGAGCCTCTTGTGTCTTTTAGGTTTCACAATAGACCGAAGTGCATAAAGCCTTGGTTTCTTTGAACACTTCGTCGCGGTGAGCGGACAGTCCGTCAACCGTCGCGTTTTGACGATTTTATCCAACCAGAGTATTTAAATGGGAATGGTTTTCTTGAATCCGCTTAGTTGAACAGGACGGCGTCATGCCGCTGATTTGTCGCGAAGAGTCGGTTGATATCTGTTGAGTTTGATATCAGCGGAATCGTCGTTGTGTGCGGAGACTATATTGTTATTAATTTTAAAACAATGAGTGACAAATTCACATACAGATGACATCATGACTTTATTTTTAGGTTTCTTGGAAATTATGTCCTTTAATAAAACTCAACACGAATTCAAAAAGATCTGTAGAAAGTCTAAAATACTCCCTAAATTTGATTTCATTTCCAAAAAGCCTCCACTGCACAGTGATATTAAAGGCACCTTCCGTATCGCGACACAAAAACAACTCAAGTCTTGGTTTCTTTGAACACTCCGTCGCGGAGAGCGGACAGTCCGTCGACCGCTGAGGACTGCGATTTTCGCCCGAGGTGGTTTGTTAAAAAATATAGAAAATGAGACTTTCTCTATGTCTGTACGTACCGTCTATGTATTATGAATGTAAACGAAAGGCACTAAAATGGTTGCAAATAAATTGTTTGCGTTATTATTGTTGGAAGAGGAAGAACAAGAGGAACTGGCAATTGCAACCGTCAAAGTTTCCAATAAGCCAGTGAATGAGTTGTTTTTGTGTCGCGATACGGAAGGTGCCTTTAATATCACTGTGCAGTGGAGGCTTTTTGGAAATGAAATCAAATTTAGGGAGTATTTTAGACTTTCTACAGATCTTTTTGAATTCGTGTTGAGTTTTATTAAAGGACATAATTTCCAAGAAACCTAAAAATAAAGTCATGATGTCATCTGTATGTGAATTTGTCACTCATTGTTTTAAAATTAATAACAATATAGTCTCCGCACACAACGACGATTCCGCTGATATCAAACTCAACAGATATCAACCGACTCTTCGCGACAAATCAGCGGCATGACGCCGTCCTGTTCAACTAAGCGGATTCAAGAAAACCATTCCCATTTAAATACTCTGGTTGGATAAAATCGTCAAAACGCGACGGTTGACGGACTGTCCGCTCACCGCGACGAAGTGTTCAAAGAAACCAAGGCTTTATATGTAATTTTTTTCTTTGTAGATCTTGGGTTTTTAGGTGCTAGTGAGAAATGAAACTCGTGTATGTGTGGATAAAGCTTTCGGCACTGATCAGTGCCTTCTTCAGTAGTTTTTTTTATTTGTAAATTATTATTTTGTTTGGCATTAAAGCCTTGTTTTTTTTTAAAACATTAAAAACAGTTCTACAAGAAAAAAATTGTTTTTTTTATAGTTAACATTTAATTTTTTAAATTATGTTTTTGGCTTACCTTTAGTACAAAATTGGGGTGTGTCGTTATAATTATTAAAATGTTTAAAATCCTTTTTTTTATTATTTGTAACGTGATACTTGTTATTTTATCTATTTGTTATAGTGCTCAATTGATTTTGGGAGTGGGTCAGGTTGTTAAATAACTCTAATTACCTTGAAAAAGAAGTTGGGCACCTCTATATTTAAAACTTACTATAGATTAGTGATAAAAATATAGAAAATCACTTTTCATACATTTCAGCATAGAGAGTCGAGAGGCTCTGCCTTCAATGTGTGCTTTATAGTAAAACCATGACATTACTAATTGTTTATTGCTATAGTTTTGTTAATTTAAAAGCAAAAAATATGGAGGAAGCACTGTCAATACATAGGTGAAACTTTTATGAAAAATAGTTTTTTTTCATTTAGGCCTTCGTTTTTTATCAAATGAGAGGTATATTTCTAAAAGCTTTGAGGATTTTCTAATGGACCCAATTATTAGATTTTAACCAAATTAATATGAAGTACCCCCTTTCTAACAAAAAATCATTGAAATCAGACACCGTGTTAAAGAATTATCGCTGAACATACATAAAAAAAATATTACGACGAATTGAGAACCTCTTCCTTTTTTGAAGTCGGTTAAAAAACGATATAATTTTGTAAATATAAACTAAAATAGGGTTTGAAGAAACAATCGGTGATGAAATTATATGATTACAGACAGAATAAACATACAGGAAAAAGAAAAATGTTAAAGTAGGAAAATTAAAATGGCAAGAACCAAGAAGAAAAGAACGCCGAAAAAGATTAAAAGAGAAAAATAAACAAAAAACCAAAAATAACATGATATGGTCAGTGTAAATCTAGAAAGAACCCCTCTACGAATTGCTAGAAAATAGAACAATGCTCAAATAGAGTCAGCCTTGTGAACATCAGTGTTTGCAAAGCTTTCAAATCTGCAATTAAATTGAACGATAAAAGTCTTATCCCAAATCTAATTAAATAAAAGCAGTGTTGTATTTGTTATCTGTTCAGATAGATCTGCAATATAAAAAATTGGCCTTTAAATTATTTTGATAGATCTTAAAAGTGAAAAGTGGCGGTCATGAATCAGATGCATATCTACTGTGCAGTTTCCTTTATTAAAACAAGTAAAGAGAAAAGATGCCACTTAAAGTTTGGACATGGACTGCAGCGAAATGAAATTAAAGAGGAAAATCTAGAAAGAAATAAATAAAAATTATATAGAAAGAGGAAAGAAGAGGATTTAACAAGGCGATTGGAATTATAAAAATCGATGTGACACAATAACAGGCTGGGTGCGGTGCCATATCACTTTAGTGTCACAAAATTGCAGATTTGACACATGTTTTAAATAAAACTACACATGGGTAGTTCTTGATATTTAGGGAAAAAATTGCGGATTATAGTCAAAATTCAAAAATATGGCCTTTCCAAGTTGAAATTTATTTGTGTTTTTATATTTTACATTGGTTTTAAGTGTTTTATTGATTATTTATTAAAGACTATATATGTGGTACAAGTTACTAAAAATGTATTTACCAATATTTGTGAGCACATTGCAGAAAAATATGTATTTTAAATCAGTAAATATTCCTAAATTTTAGGTTGTGTTTACTGCAACAATTAATAGGTACTTAACCAACTTAGATTTGTTTGGTAGAAGTAGTGATATTAACCTTCACCTGGCATGCCATCCTGAGTAACATACCTGGACTCGTGGGGTACGTACGAACCCCAGTGATAAAAATCTTTGCAAAAATTGAAATATTGATTCTTTTGTCTCAAAAAAATTCAGTGATCCTCTTTAGATACCACTTTCAACTGTAGAATAGTCAGAGTTGAAAAAATAAAGATCAGCGTTCATAAAAAATTCGGAAAACTGGAAAACCAGAAGAAAAAAAAAAGCTTTTTTTACAAAAAAAAAAATCATAACTTTTTTGTTTTTCGATAAAAAGGGCTTCTGTTACATCACTAAAAAAAAATAATAATTGTTTTCATGGGTCTTTAAAAAAGGTATTTATTTTGAGAGCGCTATCCCACTGGCCTAGGTATAAAAGTATATCCCTTGACTACCGATAGATGTCGTTACGAGTTTCGTTTTCTAAGATTTAGATATCAAAAATCGACAAGAAAGAGCGTGGGGGTATGTACGTACCCCACGAGGCCAGGCGAAGATTAAGCTGAGAAGCAAAAATGTATATTCTTTGATCTGTGTCAGTTGGACGAGAAGCGAATTTTTAAAAAATTATGTTTTTATTTCAGGCGACATACGTATTTTTTTTTTAATTATTTTGCTATTTCAAGTAGAAAAAATATATAATTTTTTTGTTAGTGATGGTTTCTTGTGCAAAAATGGGAAAAAAATGTTTGGGGTAGGTAATACATTTCATGACGAAAAACATTTTTTTAATACCGTTTCTCTATAGGTAGATTTTTCCAAACAACAAAATATATGGGTTTTGATCACTTCAATTTTTCATTATATTTTTCTCGAAAAATACTGGTTTTCAATATTTTTTTGCGAAAATTTACTATAGAAACTAGTTATTTTTGACAATTTTTTTGTAAAACTCGCACCTGAACACAGCGAACAATTCAGTCATGTTCAAAAAAAAAAAAAAAAAAAAAAAAAACAGGTTAGAAAAAAATGGCTATACGAGTATTTTGACAAAATCCGCACTTTTTTGTAACGAGTTAGTCTCTACCACATTCAAAATGGTTCTATTTTTTTTTCTAAATCGCTTACTTTTTGTGACATTAAAGTGTTATGGACCCAGAGTATGTTAAAGTTGCAAAGAACGAAACATATATTTTGGGTAACAATAGTAATATATGCTGATTACGTGCATTTTAACGGTTTATCTTTTAATATTAATTTATCTATGCTGATTACAGTTTAATTTCAATCAGCATAGCACAAAAAATAGCTGTCAAATATGATTTTCAAATTCTAGTAGGTAAGGATATATTTTTACTGTAGACAATACCTTTAGATTGGAAAAAAATAAAATACAGGTTTTTACCAAGATAACGAAATTATAAACAACACCTAATTAACACCAAAAGATCACAAGAAAAAGAATATTTTAACTAAACAACACAAAAAGTCTGTACTGAATGATCAGATACAATGTCACACGATAGGAAATTTCGATAACCTATTAAACACAACATAGTCCGTTCCCACAGCATTTTATACATGTTGAAGCCCGTAAGCCCGACCGAGTGCTTTACTAACACTAAACTAAACCACTACACGATGGGTTGATGTTGATGGGCTTGGGTAGACCCATCAAGAATGTAGTGTGTGTATTTCTATGAAAAGGCCTGCCTTATTCAGCCGGGGACCAATAAAAGTGAGGTTAGACCTGACCATCGAGAGGGTCCGAGGAGTTTTATGGGATTCAATGGTGACGTTTTTCGAATATGGTGGCTCAGTTTTTGACCTGCCTTCTTTGATGTTTTGTATATTGTATTATTGCGACTAGAGCGGAGGTATATTAATTTTTGGAGGGGAACACTGAACGTTAGTTACTATTTTTTACGATTGTGAGGAGAGTCGCTGGCGAAAAAATCACATGTTAATGCGGAAAATAATTTTTTTCGGAATTAGAAAGCTTTTTAAAAATTCTTGGATTTAGTCTTTAGAGTTTTTATGTTAATTTGTAAGAATTATTTTTTTAAATATTTTTGTTGATACAGATATAAGTAAATTGTCCAAAAACAATTTGTTCAAAAAGAAATTGTTTTGTACTGAATAAATGTAACAAAAAATTCTACCTGTCATTTTAAAAATCATTAGAAATTAAAGTCCTGTAAATTATATATTTATGTCGCCAAAAAATCGTTGCTGCCCCCCCTTATTTCTTAATAAGCGCTATCAGCAATTTTATATTAACCTAAATAAACTAAGGGTGAGATTACAGAACGTCTGCAACTTTGCAGATCTGCAAATATGGCGGCAACTTTGAAAATCTGCAAATATGACTGACTTACACATGCAAGTATCAAGTTTTCGTATTCCAAATTTGGGTTTAGTGTTGTTGGGGGTAATAAACCACAATAAATATTGCGAATTCGCAGATATTTTTTGGAATACTTGCATTTGTAAGTCCGCCATATTTGCAGATCTGCAATCTCACCCTAAAAGCTTAAGACTAAGAAATCGAATCTATGGTAGATGCGCCCGTGGTACTTGCGGCCACTACCTAAAATTGTGGCATTTGCGCCCTATCCTACTTTTGGAGCTTACCTGCTTTTTAAGAAGGCTCAAGTTAGTGGCAGTTGCGCCCTGTTTTTATTTGCAGGCAGGTAGTAGATGGATAAACTTAAAATATCTGCGATACATTTTTACTATTCTAAATTTTATTATTTTTACTATGGTGAATCACTGGAAGATTGGCTGTAACTACCCAAAAACAGTTTTTTATTATGTATTTCTTTTATTTTCTTGTATCTCTAATTAAGAGTTGTTAGCGGCCGTATCTCAGAATATCTTGAAGAATAATTAAAAAAACCAAAAACTGGGCGATTTTTATTTCAAGGAGGACACCTTTTCATCATATCCATAGGGAAAGTACCAAGTATGGCGCATCATCAAAAAGATAATTTTAAGAGGAATTGCGAATTCAGCAATACCTATTACTGTGCATTGGATTCCTTTTAATTTTAGCGCCAGTTACGTATTTTAAAGTGTGATATTTTATTTAAAAGATTATTTTATTAGTAATAATAATAATAATACTCTCCCTAATTCACCCCCTTACGAGTAAATTTCAACCCCTGAAGTCGACTGAACGACTTGTGTAGGGGAAGGGACGGCTATTATTATTATTTGCCGTGGCGCTCCGGGGCGACTTAAGGATGATTGATGGTGCCATTTGACTTACAGGTGAGGAAAACCCGGAAAACCTCACCCACCATCATTAGTAATTGAATGCACTACATAATACGAGTATTATGTTATTGTTTGTTGCATTGTTACTAACTTTATTTTGTTGCAAGTGCAATATGGAGATATTTAGTTTAATGTTATGTGTTGCATTATTACTAATAAAATAATCTTTTAAATTAAATGTCACACTTTAAATTTAAGTTTATAGAAAAAATATTTTACTAACAGAATTAACAATTACGGTAATTTTCGTTGAAAAATGATAATGCACTTGTTAATAAAGTAGAACGTAGACCAAGAAAAGAGGGAAAAACAAAAAATGTGTTGAAAAATTGAAAAACACCATATTCTCTTTATTTTTGGAAGTAATTGTAACTTCAGCTACATCAGCCATGACACGAAAATAACACAAATCCTCGTAAAAATTCAATATAAATTTTAATAAACGTGTAAGTACCTCAGTGTTCGATTTTATAATAATGTCTTCATGCGATTGTACGAATAAATTATGAACAAATGTGGAACTCTTATATCTATTTAAAAACAGTACCTATACACCAACACCTTTTTAACAGGAAACAACTATTGTAGTAACTGTTTAATAAAATTAAGAGTAAAACTGCAAATAAAATCCAGGAAACAACTATTGTAATACCTGTTAAATGAGATTAAGGGTAAGACCCTTGAATATTTTATATAGATATAATAGTAATAGGTATAATGTATTTACACACATTTTTATTATTATTATTATTATTTAATATTTTAAGTTTACTTATCTGCTTGATCTTGCTCTTCTATATTTTATTCCACCTACTTGGATACAAACAGGGCGCAAGTGCCAATCTCTTGACAGTTCTTAAAAAGCATCAGGTATGCTCGAAACGGATACCCGAGCGCAAGTGCCACTCTTTTTCGTGGAAAGCGCAAATGCCACGGGCGCATCTACCACGAACCCTAAGAGAATCACCCATTATCGTCTCTCAGGTGGTACTGTTTTATTGGTTTATTTTTTTCTTTATTTGTGCTAAAACTTATACTATCGAATTTATTGTAAACTTAATAATACCAACTAAAACAAAATAAACAAAACGGTCTTCAATAAAAATCGTAAGAATTGTAACATAACCTAATTTATTTAAACCTTTTAAAACTGTATATTACATTTATTTTCACACTGCACTTGTATATTTTTGGTTGCATAGTATAAAGGTGGCAACGTTGACAGAACTGACAGTACGGAAATAAAAAAAAATTAGGTTGGGAAGGGAAAAACTAGAATGAACATATTTAATGCTTAGCATTCTATATTATACTCTTCACAGTTTAATAGAACCCATCAACTCATATTTTCGATTAAATTTTTTTCAGGTATCAGTAGGCTTCATCATTTATAACGCTTGATTTTTCTGAAGATTTCAATTTGATAACGTTTTTTGTTTCTGGAGTCTGATTTTTACTAAACATTTCATGTTAATATCGCTTTTGGTTTTAAGTTTAATTTTTATTTCTACCCCCTTGACCCCCATTTCATTCAATTTTTTCAAATCAATAGGCTTAGTCCCCTTGTAGAGCTTGATTTTTTTTAAAAATTTCAAGTTGATATTATTGTTCGTTTTTGAGTTAGGATTTGTTTAAATGTTTTAACCCCCTTAACCCTCTATTTTTATTCAATTTTTTTCAAAATCAATATGCTTCATCTGCTTATAGAGCTTCATTTTTGTTTTTGATTTAGGATTCTTTTTTAATTTCAATCGCTCTTGAACCCCCATTTTTATTCAGTTTTTTTTTAATCAAAAGGCTTCTTCTTATAGTTTGATTTTTGCTAAAAAACTCAAGTTTATATCATTTTTCGTTTTTGAGTTTTTATATTTTATATGCCTTTATCACTACGGCGCATTTTCAAAAAATATCACACAAGCGCTTACTCATGTAAATACTATTTTAGTTTGAAAGAAAAAGGAAAACTGTTAAAACAATTACAACCACTAATTTTCACCAATGATAATGACTTTGTTAAGACCAGTAAAAACTATATAATGACAAAATTAAACCGTAAAATTGGAAGAATCTAAAAAAAATCACAATACGACAGAAAAAGAATAGAGAAAGTTAACCAAGAAGGAGTAATCATTAAAAAGTCAGCATCAAATTACATTACTACATCCAAACTACAAATTATTTATATTTACAGATATTGCTCATTATAAAAAGAATAACCTTCGTTCTACGCCTATGGATTCATATCTGACGGTCAGTCGGGGGTTTTGGCATCTATAGAAAAGGAAACTATGCAGAGATAAATTATGACATAGCAGGTTTCGGATTAGTGTTCTGTTCATTTATTTGTGAGGAGGTGGGGTACTGCCCTCTAGAGAATTTAGTACCTACCTAAACCCGATGTGCTTAATGAGCTTTTCTCGGATATGCAGTAACTCAATGAGATACATACGACAATCGTTGAAATCGTTATAGAACAAATTTTGATATAATTTTATTGGTTTATGTACTAAATTTATTTTGAGAATGTGTGTTAAGTCAAGTACAGATACCTATTTAGGGACAAAAAACTTTTAAGTTACTAAAAAATACAATCATAGGTATGCTTAAAAATAGCAAAACACATAACTGTATCAACATTTTTAACTTTAGAGGGTACGGTAAAATTTCTAGCGAGAATATAGCGAGCTCACCAGCGTCTTTGGTTAAATTTCGCTCTTTTTTATTGGCCAATGATAAATCCAACTAAAAATATGTTGCAGATGTTCATAAAATCGTGTGCAACATAAAATAATGCTTGTGGATGAATAGGACATAATTTGAGAGAAGTATATCATTTACCAAAATTTATCCTATTAATAATAAATAGCAACATTAACAACATGAAAATGATAGGTATTTAACAATGTCAATAGAAGATTTTGATCATACAAATTCATTTAATCTTAGAAGTAAATATATAAAGGTAAACTAAACGTATAATAGAAGAGAAACAATGAAACAAGATACTTCAGTGTACATAACCAAGAAAGTATGTAGAATATTAGAAACGAGTAGAAATTAAAAACGTAATTTTATCCTAAACAAAGCAATCATGAAAACGGGGCGGTCAATTCAGTTACAGTTGTCAAAACTTTAAAGTGGTTGGGTTTGTGTTTTGTTTACGTTGAATTTACCGAATTTATCTTCAATTATCCTACAATATTTTGTTTATAAGTTTAGCTTTGTGTTTACTTATAATACCACTGGTGCCTAAATTATTTCCGGAAATTGTTACGAACTCACGAATTTTCTTAAAAGATTCGTGAGTGAGCAAAAATGTTTTCTACCTTATCAAAATAGTTAATGTTTTCTCTGATTACTACATATTTCACTTCCTCCTCT